AGCGAGCACGCCAGGGAGTAGCCTTTTATTGGGGAACAAGAAATTCAGGGGAGAATTCCATCCAATGAAGGTTGAGGGGGGGCCGCACTCCAAGGTCAGGGTCAGTGATTGGGCCCCTGGGGTCAGTGGCCAGTCACACCCCCACACGGACAGGTTCTCTCATCAGGAGAGGGCCGGGAAAGTTCCAACACAGCCAGAAGCCTCAGACCCAAACTGGGAGTCACCCAGTCACGCGTGAGAATGGCTCTCCACACCACCCCACCTCCACACTCCAGGTATCCCCTCACAGTACCCCCTTTTGCCCCTACTTTGGTTCAGGTCCCTCTCTGAGGATCTACTCACCTGGGGCAGAGGAGCAGAATGGGCTGGCCTCTGTGCCCTGAATGCTCCCTATGGGAAACACAGCCCTGCCACTTGCCTGCATCCCCTTCGCAGCCTGAACCTTGAGGCCTGGCAGTTAACATGAGATTTGCTCCAATCCAGCCCTGAGAGATCCCCTCCCTTCCCTCCCCTTGCCCTCTCACCTTGCATGGTGTCCCTTACCCAACCCAGCCCTCCCTAACCCTGACCCTTTGTGCTCCAGTCCCCGTGCCTGGGCGCTTGCCTGAGTCCCTGACCATGTCCCTCATGTCCCTTGGCATACCATGGAGTATCTTTGTGTTGTTGCCAATGCTACAAATATGGTGCCTATACTTCAAATGACAACTGGAGTGGAGTAATGAGCTGACCCCAGCAAAACTTCAGGAGATCTATACCAGAGTGGTACTATCTTATGTATATATACCCTAATAGGTATTCTAAAAGGTCTGGAAAGCCAGTATCAGCTAGTTTCATTGTTCCTTCATCATAAATAAGAGGTTTTAAGTCTCTGTGAAGAACTTCTAGAGTGACAAAACACAATACTCTGAAGGATTTGATACAAATAACTCTTAACAAGTGAAGAATCTTTGAACTGACCAGGAGGAATAGAATTCAAATATTTCTTGAGATCCATAGAAAGGAATTCAATAGATAAATTTCCTGACTTGCAGTACTAGGAAGCCCTACCTCTTCACCTTCTAGTCTGATTTTTTTCATGGCTACCACTTGACCTGTTGTTTTATGTCTACCCTTATATACAACTCCATAAGTACCTTCCCCAATTTCCTCTATTTTGGTATGGTCTTCCACTGTTACTCTATAGGTAGGATAGATCCCAGCTTATTGTCCCATGATGGCTACAGTGGCAGCTACCATGTTCATGACTCCACACTCAACTTCCAAGCACCAGCTTTGAAGCCAAGTGCCCAAGGTCACTAGTTTTAATGTAAAATACAATGATGACCAAAACAGACTTCACTCACTTAGACTTCACTCCTATTGCTGATAGTCAGTCATCCCCTGAACCCCCTACGAGGGCTGCTGCATTTAGATCACCACATAAAATTTCTTCACTATATGCAGGATATTGAATTTCCTCAAGTTATATGTTTGTCAGTCCCAGCTGTCCTGGAGCTCTTGGGCCTTTCATATACCTCCCTGGAATGACTAGTCCCAGGACTACTAGTGGCATACTTGCATACTTGTTACATGTGTCATCAATGTCACATTGTGTGTGTGTGTGTGTGTGTGTGTGTGTGTTGCTGGGGATTGAACCCAGGGCTTCATTCATGCTAGGCAAGCATTCCACTACTGAGCTACATCCCCAAGCCCCATATCATAAATCTTGGTACTGATCTTAACATACCACATGGGCATTTTATCCTATTTTGAGTATATAGTAATATACATCACATAAATATTGAGTCTAATAAGAAAGACACTGCCTTGGTTTGGTGGCAAATTCAAATTAAGCTCAGCTAACAATAAAACATCTAAGTGCTCAGATACTTTATGGAAAAGTGCTTCATGCTACACTGTCCAAACATCAAGCAGTTTAGCTTCTGTGAGAGGAGCAAGACTAAGTTCTAAAGATCTCAGTAATATCCTTTGAATAGCATTAAAATGCCTGGCTCTAAAAACGTCTAAAATATCTTTCCTCCATCATCCACTCTGAATCTTCCCAACATTCCTCCTTCCATTATAGTGGATGATATGAAGTTGGATGTTAGTAAAGCCTTTTAAATTCTTTCAGAAAGATCACAAAATGCTGTTTATTTGATTAATTCTTTATTGCCTCTATAATTCCATCCCTATCATGATTCCATAATTTGTTTCAATTGTTTTCTCTGAGTGGGAGCTCCTATTTCTCATTTTCTGTCTCTCTATATATATTAGCCTGCTTCATTCTACACTTCCATTCCAGGGGTGGTGGCACACACCTGTAATCCCAGCTAGTTGGGAGGCTGAGGCAGGAAGATGGCAAGTTGGAGCCCAGTCGGGCAACTTAGTGAGAACTTGTCTCAAAATAAAAATAAAGGGTTGGGGCTGTAGCTCAGTGGTAAAGTGCTTGCCTGGCATGTGTGAGGCACTGGGTTTGATCCTCAGCACCACATAAAAATAAATATATTGTGTGTCCACCTGCAACATACAAATATTTTTAAAATAAACAAATAAATAAAAAGGGCTGTTGCTATAGCTTAGTGGTAGAGTGCTCCTGGGTTCAATCCCTAATACTGCAAACAAAAACTATACTTTCATTAGGAAAATAAAAACTATATTTTCATTAGGCAAACAAAAACTATACTTTCATTAGGCAATTAATATCTCCCACCTGTCCCTATACCTATTACTAGCATCTCCTGAACTTATTTAATTACTTTTTTTTTTTCACTGCCCATGTATTTCCTTTGAAATTGTGCGCTCAGATCAGGACAAACCTCCCAGATACAGAGTGATGATCTTCTCAACCACCTCCCATTATGGGTTTTCTCCTTTCAAATCTTCTCATTGATGACATCTTCAATTTCTTTTTCCATTTATACTTGATCTCTTTTCTCTTGGCATTCCAATGTCATTTATTCTTATCTTAGTTTTTTCTTTTTTTTTTTTTTGCTGCCTTTTATAATGATTGCTTTATTCACTCATTCAACCAACATATGTGGAAGAGGGCTGGAAATGAGGGTAGCGAAAGTCTGAATTTTAAGTACAAATGTAATTTTGAAAGTTTCACTTCATTGATTCATTGTAACAACCTCAAAAGAGCTCCCTCATAAAGAGGAATGAACAGAGTTTGGAGATGTTACTTGGTCAAGCCCAGACAACTGGAAACAGATGGAACTGAACTTGAAATATTCTTGGCATCATTTTCTGTGCTCTTTCCACAACCATGTTAACTTCTTTCAAGGTGAGCAAATAAGAGCCCTTCCTGCTGAATCTGTCTTATTTGTTTGGTACACATAGTAGCTGCTAGTTTGGTTTTTACATCTACATTTGAATGCCTTTTTATTGGGCCTTCATTTGTCAATCTTCCAATGTTCCCTCTAACCCCTGTGGTCACCTTGAAACAAAGAATAAAAAACGATTTCTTGACCCAGCTGCGGTTCCAAAGAAGCTAAAACTGGTATGTTCTCTGGCTACCACAGCCCAGCTAAATCTACATATGTATATCACCTGGCTTTTGTTTCTATAAATTGTAACTGCTTCTGTGGGTCCACGATAAACCCAGCCTAATTCCCTCTTAAGATTGGGAGCCATTTTGTCACAAAGGCATGAAAAGTTGATTTCAGCTTTAGCATAAATTACTTGCTTGAAATGCCTGCCCATGCCTTGGTTTCCCTGGCCAGATAACTGAAATTCTAGTGGTGCCTCGTAAATTCTGATGTTGGGATCTAAATTTACTCCCTATGTGCTGGACCATTAACCTATTACCTGCCTTTGTGTTATACTTGTGAAAATCCTGTTATCTGTAAGTTCTTAAGACACCGCCCCCCCCCCCCCCCCCCTTTGCAACTTTCTGTTGCTTAGGCTCAGGCCTAAGGTCATCCTCAGAGAGACAGACAGATAGACAAACTTACTTTCCTGGCTCTTAAGCCCTGAAAGTTTCTTCAAGCTCAGTATGGAATATCCGCTCCCAAAAATCAAGAAAGCTGAGCTAAAAAGTCATAGCTAGGGAGTGCACTAATTTTACTATAAGGGTTAAAAAGAAGAAAAATGATCGAAGCTTTCCCTATTGTCAAAAGGATAAAAGGATGAGATATTTTTCCTTCTTCCTTTACTTTGAGGATTTTCTTGGGGGAAAAAAATCTGTAATTACATTACTTCCTCTGTGTCTCTGTATATATATATAAAAGTTAAATAAGCCTCTGTCAGATACAAACATGGGATCTTTTTCTTAAGGTTCTGGGACACAACTTTGAAACGTCAATATCAAGAAAGATGGTCCTCCATCTCCTGTCACCAAGGAAGTTATCCAAAGTGGCTTGTGCCAAGATCTAAGAATCTTGTCAGAAAGGGAGGGGGGGAGCAGGTGGAGGGGGGAGGAGGAGGGGGAGAGGGAGGGGGGGAGGGGAGTGGGGAGGAGGAGGGGGGGGGGGAGGGGGGAGCGGGGGGAGCGGGGGGGGGCTAGTGATAGTTTTGTTTTTCCTTCAGGTAAAGGCAAACAATTAACAAGGCCAGCCACCCCAAGGGTGAACTACCGAAGAATGAGTGGCAAACGGTGCCCTCTTACAGGAGAACATGCACGTAAGGGGTTGCATCTGCTTGGCTACATAAAAGGTATTATTTCCGTCCTTCTTTGCAATCTCATTAATAGATCATTTGTGATGCTCAAACTAGTTTGGACGGATACTTATAGATTAATAAAACCCCTTCCTTTCTACATTTTTCTACATTTGTGATTTCCTGAGATGGCAGGAAATTTAATTTTAAAAATTTCCTGGACAAAATCCATTTATTTAAGTCCCCAACCAGTACAAGCCTGCCTCCGCTTCCATCTTCCCATCTGCTCTCAGATTTACGCCGGAGGCGTTGGGGCTGGGACCCACGTTGAGGCTCTCTGGGAAAAGGCGGTGAGATAACGCGGTCCCTCGCGGCGAGATAACGCGAGAGCCACAATTCCCTGCGTTCCCTGCGCCCTCGGCCCGGCGGCGGCTTCTTCCGGTTCGCAGGCTTCGGAAACCGAAAGGACTGTGCCTGGGACACCGCGCCGAGACCGATTCACCTTCACCTGTGCAGAGCGCCAGCTGACCCGAGGAGGAAGCCAGGCGAGCAGTGGAACATGAACGGAAGGGTGGATTATTTGGTCACTGAGGAAGAGATCAATCTTACGAGAGGACCCTCAGGTATATGCGGGACTTGACTCGGAGCAGGGGACTTGAGGGTGTAATTGCAGAGCAGACATTTGTTTTGCTAACCCGGGTTTACCTGATCTCGGGGCAGGCAGGCCCCAACCTCGAAGTTTCCTGTAAGCTTTCAGGCACGTAGGAAAAACCTTGGCATCCATCATTAGTCAGATAACGGGTCTGAGGACTCGGCTTCATAATCCAATCGGTTTACCACATGCGTTCACAGCCAGGAAGGGATTCTGTCAGCTAACGGTGCTAGACAAAACGAGAAAAGTCCTGCTTGTAAGCCAGCATATCGCGGATACCATCCCCTTCCTACCCTTGTCTGCTCGATCCCTGTTTTTCAGGGACCGGTTATTTTTTTACAAAAGCATCCAAACTTGGTACTACTCCAGAATTGTTCAGGGTTTTTAATTTTTGCTTTTTCATTTAAAAAAACCAAAATGCTATTTCCTAGGCCCATCTTCGGAGTATTGGATTCAGTATGGATTTTGATTTTTGTCTTTTAAACTGAAAACCTCATGTGGTTCAGATATAGCCAGATGCTCACTTACCTCTTTTTCGTGACACTTCATTACGCTGTGCTTTTGACATGACTACAGCTGCCTTTCTTGAAGTTGATTGCCTTTTCTATAAGGCCGTTTAGTTTTTCCATTAAGAGTTTTAGATTTAGGATTACACTACCTAGGGCCAAATCTTTATCTAGCCTCTTACTAACTTTGTAACTGATGCAAGCCTTAATTTCTCCTCTGTAAAATGGGAATGGTTATAGAATATACTCCTCTGTAAAATGGGAATGGTTATAGAATATACTCAGAGTGTTGTGAGAGTGAAATGAGTTAATCTCTGTAAAATATTTAGAACATTGTCTGACATGTGTAAAGCAGTGTGTTTGCTACCGTTGTTATTGTTAATGGATGAATGGCTAGGTGACAGTTAAGTCTTGCCAAATACTGTATTTCAAGTGCCTCTAATCAAGTACTCTGAGTTCTCTGAAATTCCTTTCATTCTTTTCTCTTCTCATTGCCACTACCTAGAACCATCCGTCACCTTCTCTTATGTGGAATTTTGCAATAGTTTACTCACTACTAATAGATCATTCTTTATGAAACATGACTTTCAGATTTATCCATATTTGTGTCTTCCTTCCTGTTGTTTAAAAAAAGGGGGGGGGCAACAGGCAGTTGATCTTACGATAAGATCATATCATAACTTACTGCTTCTCCCAGATTAGATCCTTCCTAATCATTCAACATTCTACACAATTTATAGATTGTCTCTTATATATTGCCAAGGTCTTTGTTTTATCTCCTATCAAGGAAAAGATGGAATGGCTATTATCCCTTGTTTTACAAATGAGGAAATCTTGACTTTTACATCATACAGCTCTTATGGGACAGATTTAAGAACTGGATCCTTAAAAATCAAACTCTGAAACACTAGAGATAATTTTATTTTGTTTTGTTTTTGTTTTCCTACTGAAGTCTCCTCTCTCTACTAGGAGGTTTTCTGATTTTTTAACAAAAATGTATATTTCAGCCAGGTATGTTAGTTTTAGGGTGTGGTGGCACACACCTGTAATCCCGGTGGATCTGGAGGCTGAGAAGGGAGGATCACAAGTTCAAAGTCAACCTAAACAACTCAGTGAGGCCCTGTCTCTAATAAAATACAAAATTGGGCTGAGGATGTGGCTCAGTGGTTGAGTGCCCCTGAATTCAATCCCTGGTACCCCCCCACACACACACACACAAAATATATATTTCATTTCATTTCTTTTCTTTCTTTCTTTTTTTTGGCTAATGCTTTGTCTAGTGCATGACACAAAATGAACAGTAAAGTAAATGACCAAACTGATATATTAGAATAACATAATGGAATGTGTTTCAGTAAAAAGAACCAGCAACAAGGTTTGTTTAAGCTTTTGCAAAGTCATAAACAGAATTCTCCAGTAGATAACAATTTGACAAAAAAAGAATGAGGTTGGACATAATGTGTTATAGTGACAGCTAGGAAATTAGCTAAGATACAATAAACAAGGGGAAGAAATAGGTGGAAAAACTCCACGGAACAGAAGAGCTCTGAAGATGAGTCTAAAGGTCAGAGCATGGTGGTGCATGCCTATAATCCCAGCAGCCTAGGAGGCTGAGCAGGAGGACCAGAAGTTAAAGTCAGCCTCAGCAACTTAGGCCCTAAGCAACTTAGCAAGAACCTGTCTCAAAATAAAATATAAAAAGGGCTGGGGGTGGGGTGGGGAGAAGGATTAGTCTAAAGGTCTTTTCAGAACAATCCTTAAGAACATCTAGCCATTATTTGGGGGAAACAGAAATGAAAGATAAGTGGATAGGTGCATCCCACTTTGTGGAGCCATATGACTAAGTGGATTATATTTGAATAATTGTGAAATTATTTATTGAGGGAAAGACAACTAAAATGATAGAAATGTTAGTTTTAGAAGACTCAAAATTAAAGTAAAACTTTAAAATTTATTTACTGTTTGTTACATGTCTACATATGATTAGGAATTTTTGATACTGAAGGACAAGAAATGATTCTTGTACAATAGGATATTTGTTAGTCAAAAGAAAATGAGGGGCTGGGGTTGTGGCTCAGTGGTAGAGCGCCTGCCTAGCACGACATGTGAGGCCCTTGGTCAATCCTCAGCACCACATAAAAATAAATAAATAAATGAATAAATAAATAAAGGTATTGTGTCTAACTGCAACTAAAAAATAAATATTTTTTTTAAAAAAGAAAGAAAATGAGACTAAGCCAGGCAGGGCAGGCCTGTAATCTAAGTGGCTTGGGAGGTGGAGACAGGAGGATTGCCAGTTCAGAGCTAGCCTCAGCAAAAGTAAGATGCTAAAAAACTCAGTGAGACCCTGTCTCAAAATAAAATACAGAATAGGGCTGGGGATGTGACTCAGTAGTTGAGTGCCCAAGTTCAATCCTCACTACAAAAAAAAAAAAGAAAGAAAGAAAGAAAATGAGAATAAAAGTGTCACTGAAAAACAAAAATCAACTAAAGGTAAAAAAAAAAAACCCTGTATGGATGAAGTATTGTTAATTACTTAAAGTACAAGCATTAAATGTTTCAATCAATAGGCAGAATGGAATAAAAAAGATCCAATGATATTCTGTTTGCAACAGATTCACATTAAAACTAGAGATTCAAGTAGATTTATAATGAAAGAATGAAAAAGGATATTCCATTCAAAAGATTGCTGGAATGATTGTACTAATTTCACACAAAATAGATTTAATGAGTAAAAAATTACAAGACACTCAGGGACATTACATAATAAAATTTTTATTGGTTCTTTTTAGTTATACATGACAATAGAATTAATTTTGATATAATTATACAAGCATGAAATATATCTTATTCTAGTTAGGATGTACATGTGTGATGTACGTGATGGTGGGATTGATGATGGTGTATTCATATAAGTACATAGGAAATTTGTTTTGGATTTATTGCACTGTCTTTCCTTTTATCCCCTCTCTTCCCTTTCTCCCTCTTTACCTTATCTACTGAACTTCTGTTTTCTCCTCTTCCCACTTATTGTGATTAGTATACACATATCAGCAAAAACATTCGACCTTTGGTTTTTTTGGGACTGGTTTATTTTACTTAGAATAGTTGTCTCCAGGTCCATCCATTTATTTAGAAATGTCATAAAGTCATTCTTCTTTATAACTGAGTAATACTCCATTGTGTATGTATACCACATTTTCTTTGTCCATTATCTGTTGAAGAGCATCTAGGTTGGTTCCATAGCTTAGTATTGTGAATTGTGCTGCTATAAACATTGATATAAACATCACTGTAATATGCTGATTTAAAATCTTTTGGATTTAAACCAGGTTGAGATAAATGGGTCAAATGGTGGTTCTATTCCTAGGTTTTGAGGAATCTCCATACTGCTTTCCAGAGTGGTTGTACCAATTTGCAGTCTCACTCAATGTGTGAGTGTACCTTTTTCCCCACATCCTTGCCAATATTTATTGTTACTTGTATTCTTGATAATTGCCATTCTGATTGGAGTGAGATAGAATCTCAGTGTAGTTTTAATTTGCATTTCTCCAATTTCTAGAGATGTTGAACATTTTTTCATGTATTTATTGACCATTTGTATTTCTTCTTTTGGAAGTATCTGTTTAGTACTTTGCCCATTTATTGATTGGGTTATTTGGTTGTTTTAGTGTTGAGCTTTTTGAGTTCTTTGTATATCCTGGAAATTAAAACCCTATCTGAGGTACAGGTGGCAAAGATTTTCTCTCATTCTATAGGCTGTCTCTTCATACTCTTGATTGTTTCCTTTGCTGTGGAGAAGCTTTCTATTTTGATATCATCCCATTTATTGATTATTGATTTTACTTTTTGCACTTTAGGAGTATTGTTAAGAAAGTCAGTTCCTGAGCTGACATGTTGGAGTGTGGGCCTACATTTTCTTCTAGTAGGTGCAGGGTTTCTGGTCTAATTCCTAGGTCTTTGATCCACTTTGAGTTGAATTTTGTGCAGGGTGAGAGATAGGGGTTAAATTTCATTTATGTAGGGATTTCCAGTTTTCCCAGCACCATTTTTTGAAGAGGCTATTTTTTTTCCATTATATGTTTTTGGCGCCTTTATCAAGTTTGAGGTAACTGTAATCTGTGGGTTTGTCTCTGTGTCTTCTATTCTGTTCCATTGGTCGTCTTATCTGTTTTGGTACCAATGTCATACTGCTTTGTTACTATAGCTCTGTACTATAATTTAAGGTCTAGTACTGTGATGCCTCCTGCTTTGCTTTTCCTTGCTAAGGATTGCTTTGGCTATTCTGGGCCTCTTAATTTTCCAGATCAGTTTCATGACTGCTTTTTTTTTTATTTATTTATATGAGGAATGTCATTGGAATTTTGATGAGAATTGCATTGAATCTGTAAAGCGCTTTTGATAGTATGGCCATTTTGATATATTAATTCTGCTTCTTCAAGAATGTGGAGGGTCTTTCCATCTT